AGCTGCTTCTCCCCGTAACCCCGGCGGCCCGACAGCTGCACGGGGCGAGGACGACAGCTCGGCCGGCGTCGCTGGGAGCTTTGAGAAATGCAGGGTCTCGGCTGCACCCAGACTGCTGATTCAGAATTTAGATTTCACACAATTCGCGGGATTCAGTTGCGCGTTACAATATGAGAAGCTGATGTAAGACACTGTTAGTAGGTGTCTGGCGTTTTTAATAAAAGAGTGCAGGGCCGGGGATTTAGCTCGTTGTTGTCGCCGCCTGGCTCGCAAGCGCCAGCACCCGAGTTCGATCCCCGCTACAGGGGGAAAAATGTAAAGACCTGTAAGGATCTTCGTTATAAAGTTACAACGCCTGTGTGTTTCCCTCTTGTGGAAATAACCTCATTTCCATTTCCACCCGCCCCTGCCCAGACACATCTACGTGGGGACAATAATATCATTCAGTAAACTTGTATTCAGTGAGTGACTGAAAAAGGGTTGTGGATTTCTTGTTGAAGCTCATTTAAAAAAAAATTTATATTCTGATTTCTAGTGAGAAACCCGCAAACTTTTAACTGGTTATTCACTATATAAGCAAGAAACATTTAGGAAAAAATGTTTATTTTATTGTTGTGGTTGGCAGCAATTTGACTGGTTTACGATCCCGTGGCTTCGAGCAAATATCCCGGATTCCAGTTCACTTGGTGGGATAATTAGCAGCCCAAACCTTACCACTCCCACCCCAACAGCCTGAAGAAAACAAATCCTCTTCTGTCCAGGAGGCTTACTGGTCCGTCGGAGTACTTGTTTAAACAAGTTAAGAAACTTGGACTGCTGGTTTGTTCCTGGTCTTCGACTGTTGGGCTTTGTCATCATTCAGTTCCCCTACCCTAGAAGCAACCACTGTTCTGGTTTTATTCACTGGAATTTGCCATTTCTTGAATTACATACACAAGGATTCAGGCTGTATGTACTTTTTTGTTTCTGGCTGCTTCCCTTCAACATAATGTTTTTAGAATTCATGTTTTATCTGTATTGTTCCATATATCAGTGGTTTATTCCTTTTTCTTGCTGAGTAGTTTTCCATGCTGTGAACATACCAAAATTAATTTATGTGTCTCCCCGTTGTGAATATTTTGCCTCTTTCCAAGGTGTGCTCATTATGAGTACAGCCGCCATTGGCATTTTATTTATTTTTTATGGGCATACCTTTTTTTTTTCTTGAGTAAATGCCTGAGTGAAATTGCTAGATCATAGGATAGAAAGGAGTATAACTGAGAAACTGTCAAGGAGACCTCTAGTTGCTTTATATTTTTAACCTTCCTTTAGTATTGTCAGTCTTTTTGGTTTGAACAATTCTAATAGGAATTGAGTAAGTATCTCATGTGATTTTAATTTGCATTTCTCTGGTGACTAGTAATGTTCAGCATATTTTCATTTGCTTTTTTGGAAATTCATGTATGTTGTAAAATTGTAAAATTTTTTTCTAGGGTTTTTGTTTTGTTTTGTTTTGTTTTGCATTGCCCTTAAAAAAACAGGTTGGAGGGCCGGGGATTTAGCTCAGTGGTTTGGTGGCCTGCCATGCAAGTGCAAAGACCCGAGTTCAATCCCTGGTACCAAAAAAAAAAAAAAAAAAAAGAAAACAGGTTGGTTGTTATTGTTGAAAGAGTGCTTTGTGTAGTCTACAAACAGGATCGTTTTTCTATTTGCCATGTAAATATGCATATATTTTCTTCTAATCTGTGACTTTACTTTTATTTTCTTAAAACAGTTTGAATATCCCTTAAGTGAAGTGTTTTGACACCAAAATTATTTCAGTTTAGAATTTTTCAGATTTTGGAATATTTGCATACACCTTACTGGTTGAGCATCCCCAAACCCCAAATTTGAAATCCAAAAATGGTTCAAAATGAAAAATGTTTCAGATTCCTGAGCATTTTGAATTTCATGTTTTTGGATTAGGTATGCTCAACTTGTAGTGTCTTTTGATGGGGGTTCCGGGGATCGAACTCGGGCCCTTTGTGCTTGCAAGGTGGACAGTAGAACCACTTAGCTAAATCCCTGGCCCATGTAGTGTCTTTTGATGAACAGAAATATTAATTTTAATTAAATCTGGCTTACCCCCTTTTCCTTTGAAGATTGGTGTTTTTTCATATCTTAAAACTTTGCCTATTCAAGGTTGTGAAGATACTTTCCTGTTCTTATTTTCTAAGAATTGCATCATTTTAGCTTTTACATTTTGATATGTGATCATGTTGAGTTAATTTTGGCTTGCAGTGAGGTAATACTCAAAGTTTATTATTTCTATATGACTATCCAGTTGTTCCATCACCATTAGTTAAGATAGATGACCATCATTTCCGTCATTGAATAACTCAGTAGTGTATTTTTATCAGAAACCAGTTGACTTTACTGTTTGCATGGTATTTCTTTTCTACTCTTTTTCTTTTTTTTAAGTATTTATAAAAATTAAGCTTTAACGTTTATTTCTAGCTTTCCACATCTACATGCAGACAAGAAATAGGATTGCACTTAAGTGTAAGCACTGCAAAAATGTGAAAGTGGAGACATCATATTTGCTAGAAACTGTATACAGGACTTGAAATAAAACAATGGGTAAATGAAGTTGCTAGGAAAAAAGTAAAACCACAGCATCAAAATTAGGGTGAATGGTAATGCCCTTGTGTACTACAAAAGTTTAGTGGCACTGAGAGCACTTGTCAAACAAAAGAAATCAATAGCATTTAACTACTGTTTTACTTTTAATCTGTATCTTTATAATTTATTTTTAATAGCATGTATCCAGGGATTTTTAAAGTCCATTTTTATAATCTCTACATTTTAATTAGGATTTTGAGTATTTTTATAGTTATTGTAAATCTTGATACAGTTGTTTTTTCTTATTCCTAATCTTAAATGCTTCTGGATTTCATCATGAGACGTGAAAAAAGCTTCTGGTAAACACGAATGGTAAATTGCATAGCTTTT